ATAAGATATGTCGCTTTGAAACGACATATCTCCGCCGTTTAAATATCGAAAATAAGATATGTCGTTTTGAAACGACATATCTCCGCCGGAGCTATTATCCGAGATATTAAAAAGAAATCATCGAAAAAGTTTCGATATTCGCACCGACCTCGATTTTGAAAAAAAGCGTGATGATTTGGAAGATCATATCTCCGCGGAGCTATGTCGTTTTGGAACGTCATATCTCCGCGGAGCTATGTCGTTTTGGAACGTCATATCTCCGCGGAGCTATGTCGTTTTGGAACGTCATATCTCCGCGGAGTTATTACCCGAGATCTAAAAAAAAAATCATCGAAAAAGTTTCGATTTTCGCACCGACCTCGACCCTTCCCGCGCGGGTATGCAATGAATTTTTTTAAAACGATTTTCGTCTACCTGCTGCGCATTTCTGTTCGCCTGGTACTTCGGTGGATTTTAGAACAAATGTTACGACCCAGTCGACGATGACGGAGCCCCTTTGGGTATGCAATGATATTTTTATTTGGAGATGTTTGTCAAGCAGCTACCTACTGGGCATTTCTGTTCGCCTGGTGTTTCAGTCAATTTGTAGTATGACATAGCGACCTGACAAAAAAAAAGGGCTTGAAATTAAAAACGCAGCAGTTTTGTATTATTTATTGTAAATTATTGATTTATTCTTGTAAACATTTATAAATATGTCGTTTCTTAAATATAGTTATATTATTTATTTCTCTAAAAATTATATATAATTTATTTCTTAATTTTGGTTTTATTTGGCGTAAATCGAGTCTAATCCTAGAAAAAATTGCCAGAATGTCCTTAAAATCAATCAGAGTCCTTGAATTCGTTTATCTGAAAAGAAAAAATCACATTAAAAAATAAAAAAATTAATTTTAGAAAAAAGGACATAGCTCGGCCGTATCGTTGCAGATTTTCAAATGACATGCTGCGTTATGGTCGTGAGGACCAACTGCTTCGATCTGCATCAAAATATTATTATATGTCTGAAACGACATATCTCCGCCGTTTAAATAACGAAAATAAGATATGTCGTTTCGAAACGACATATCTCCGCCGTTTAAATAACGAAAATAAGATATGTCGTTTCAAACGAAAATAAGATATGTCGTTCTGAAACGACATATCTCCGCCGTTTTAATAACTAAAATATGATATGTCGTTTTGAAACGACATATCTCCGCCGGAGCGATTATCCGAGATATTAAAAAGAAATCATCGAAAAAGTTTCGATGTTCGCACCGACCTCGATTTTGAAAAAAAGCGTGATGATTTGGAAGGTCATATCTCCGCGGAGTTATGTCGTTTTGGAACGCCATATCTCCGCCGTTTAAATATCGTAAATAAGATATGTCGTTTTGAAACGACATATCTCCGCCGTTTAAATATCGAAAATAAGATATGTCGTTTTGAAACGACATATCTCCGCCGTTTTAATAACTAAAATATGATATGTCGTTCTGAAACGACATATCTCCGCCGTTTAAATATCGAAAATAAGATATGTCGTTTCAAACGCCGTTTTAATAACGAAAATAAGATATGTCATTCTGAAACGACATATCTCCGCCGTTTAAATATCGAAAATAAGATATGTCGTTTCAAAACGACATATCTCCGCCGTTTAAATAACGAAAATAAGATATGTCGTTCTGAAACGACATATCTCCGCCGTTTAAATATCGAAAATAAGATATGTCGTTTTGAAACGACATATCTCCGCCGTTTTAATAACTAAAATATGATATGTCGTTCTGAAACGACATATCTCCGCCGTTTAAATATCGAAAATAAGATATGTCGTTTCAAACGCCGTTTTAATAACGAAAATAAGATATGTCATTCTGAAACGACATATCTCCGCCGTTTAAATATCGAAAATAAGATATGTCGTTTCAAAACGACATATCTCCGCCGTTTAAATATCGAAAATATGATATGTCGTTCTGAAACGACATATCTCCGCCGTTTAAATAACGAAAATAAGATATGTCGTTTTGAAACGACATATCTCCGCCGTTTAAATATAGAAAATAAGATATGTCGTTCTGAAACGACATATCTCCGCCGTTTAAATTTTGTCGTTTGAAACGACATATCTCCGCCGTTTAAATATAGAAAATAAGATATGTCGTTCTGAAACGACATATCTCCGCCGGAGCTATTATCCGAGATATTAAAAAGAAATCATCGAAAAAGTTTCAATATTCGCACCGACCTCGATTTTGAAAAAAAGCGTGATGATTTGGAAGGTCATATCTCAGCGGAGTTATGTCGTTTTGGAACGTCATATCTCCACGGAGTTATGTCGTTTTGGAACGGCATATCTCCGCCGTTTAAATATCGTAAATAAGATATGTCGTTCTGAAATGACATATCTCCGCCGCTTAGATATCGAAAATAAGATATGTCGTTCTGAAACGACATATCTCCGCCGTTTTAATAACTAAAACGACATATCTCCGCCGTTTAAATATCGAAAATAAGATATGTCGTTTTGAAACGACATATCTCCGCCGTTTAAATATCGAAAATAAGATATGTCGTTTCAAACGAAAATAAGATATGTCGTTTTGGAACGCCATATCTCCGCCGTTTAAATATCGTAAATAAGATATGTCATTCTGAAATGACATATCTCCGCCGTTTAAATATCGAAAATAAGATATGTCGTTTCAAAACGACATATCTCCGCCGTTTAAATAACGAAAATAAGATATGTCGTTCTGAAACGACATATCTCCGCCGTTTAAATATCGAAAATAAGATATGTCGTTTAAAAACGACATATCTCCGCCGTTTAAATAACGAAAATAAGATACGTCGTTCTGTAATGACATATCTCCGCCGTTTAAATATCGAAAATAAGATATGTCGTTCTGAAACGACATATCTCCGCCGTTTAAATAACGAAAATAAGATATGTCGTTCTGAAACGACATATCTCCGCCGTTTAAATATCGAAAATAAGATATGTCGTTCTGAAACGACATATCTCCGCCGTTTAAATATCGAAAATAAGATATGTCGTTTAAAAACGACATATCTCCGCCGTTTTAATAACTAAAATATGATATGTCGTTCTGAAACGACATATCTCCGCCGTTTAAATATCGAAAATAAGATATGTCGTTTCAAAACGACATATCTCCGCCGTTTAAATAACGAAAATAAGATATGTCGTTCTGAAACGACATATCTCCGCCGTTTAAATTTTGTCGTTTGAAACGACATATCTCCGCCGTTTTAATAACGAAAATAAGATATGTCGTTCTGAAATGACATATCTCCGCCGTTTAAATATCGAAAATAAGATATGTCGTTCTGAAACGACATATCTCCGCCGTTTAAATATCGAAAATATGATATGTCGTTTTGAAACGTCATATCTCCGCCGTTTAAATATCGAAAATAAGATATGTCGTTCTGAAACGACATATCTCCGCCGTTTTAATAACTAAAATATGATATGTCGTTCTGAAACGACATATCTCCGCCGTTTAAATAACGAAAATAAGATATGTCGTTCTGAAACGACATATCTCCGCCGTTTAAATTTTGTCGTTTGAAACGACATATCTCCGCCGTTTTAATAACGAAAATAAGATATGTCGTTCTGAAATGACATATCTCCGCCGTTTTAATAACTAAAATATGATATGTCGTTCTGAAACGACATATCTCCGCCGTTTAAATATCGAAAATATGATATGTCGTTTTGAAACGTCATATCTCCGCCGTTTAAATATCGAAAATAAGATATGTCGTTCTGAAACGACATATCTCCGCCGTTTTAATAACTAAAATATGATATGTCGTTTTGAAACGACATATCTCCGCCGTTTAAATATGGAAAATAAGATATGTCGTTCTGAAACGACATATCTCCGCCGGAGCTATTATCGGAGATATTAAAAAGAAATCATCGAAAAAGTTTCGATATTCGCACCGACCTCGATTTTGAAAAAAAGCGTGATGATTTGGAAGGTCATATCTCAGCGGAGTTATGTCGTTTTGGAACGTCATATCTCCACGGAGTTATGTCGTTTTGGAACGCCATATCTCCGCCGTTTAAATATCGTAAATAAGATATGTCGTTCTGAAATGACATATCTCCGCCGTTTAAATATCGAAAATAAGATTTGTCGTTTTGAAACGACATATCTCCGCCGTTTTAATAACTAAAATATGATATGTCGTTTTGAAACGACATATCTCCGCCGTTTTAATAACTAAAATATGATATGTCGTTCTGAAACGACATATCTCCGCCGTTTAAATAACGAAGATAAGATATGTCGTTTCAAACGAAAATAAGATATGTCGTTTTGAAACGACAGAAGCACAGAAAATTGAGCAAGCAAACGAACACAAGAGGAATTCGATTTTACAGCATAAGCCCATGCACTCATGCACAAACAAGTGTAGACAGACAGAATCGCAAAATATTTATGTATGTACAAATATGAAACTAACACAGAATGAGCGGACGCGAGGTAGACGAAAAACACGGCGCACAGAAAATAGAGCAGGCGATGCGGAATTTACTTGCTTGTGTATACACTTGTTTGTGTGTGTGTGTGTGTGTGTGAAAGTTCTCGCGTTATTTACGTGTGATCACACGACATTTTTGTTGATTAGTGCCTATTGGTCCAAGCAAGAATTTCTTTTATTATCTTCACATACTTGCTCCCATTTCTGAGCGCCGAGTAATTCGTCCGCTCTGCCTCTCGCATGATTCATGCTCTGTTACTTGTGGAAGTGGGAGATGCTTCGATCTGCTCAAAACCTTTATACCTATTATTCACTCATTTTAAGTGAGTTCCGAATTACATGATACGAAAAGAGTTAGCTTTAGTTCTGCTTTATAAGATTTAATACTAGTAAGGTTCAGTTAGGGTTAAGTTAATACCTGAAAGCAGGGTATATCCGGATCGGTGATCGGTTTTGTTTTAAAGCCTGTAAGCTGATTAATTGTGTAGTTGCCGCAGTAGCCTTTGAAAACTATGCTCTTCACCAACTCTGAGACAGACTCTTCGTTGATGTCAACATGAACCCCAATTGCCAGACGGACATCAACAGTGCCGAGTGCCAGAAATGGATGAGGGAAGTGTGCGCCCATTGCAGGGAGCTGTTCGCCCGGGAGGCCACCGACAAGTGGGCCGCCTGGTGGCACGATGCGACGCCAGCCTTGTTCAAGGATGTGCCGGACATGACCGTCTACGACTGCAACAAGCTGAAGCATCTGCTGGAGCTGGAGGTGGCTGCCATAAGGCCACCAGAGGTACCCATGCAATTTCCAGAGTTCACGTGGTGGCAAAAGGCATTGCTGATCTCCGTTTATATTGGCATTCTTGTGCTGATGGTGCTGATGTGTCGCTACTGGAGAAGGGGGCGACGTGTCAGGGTGCAGAGCATGGACGAGGAGAAGGCGGGCCCTCAGCGGCCGATAAATAAAACGCCTCCACAGTCTGAACAAAAGACACAAGCGCCTCCGTCAACGCCGCCGGCGCCGCATCCGCAGCACGAAGATGTACAAAAGCCAAACAAATCGAGGCACACCTTTAAGGCCTGGATGCGGCACAGATGCCGTCCAATCTTCGTACACAACGAGGCTTCACTGCGCCGTCAGCAGGCCAAGTACAAGGCGAACGAACTGATCAGGGAAGCCCACAACCAGCAGAACATTGAGAAATGGACGAGAGCACGCGAGGAAGTCGAAAAGAGGCGGCAGGAAAGAAAGGATAGCTTGGCCATGGATAGTAAGCGGAAGGACACACAGCATTTAGATGAGAATCAACACAAAGTAAGGCCTAATAATTCTTAAGCAAAAAAAAATTGAGGTTTCAATATTATTCATTATAAATAGCATTTTATTGCAATTTATTTGTGACTTAGTAACTCTGAGATGGACAAAGTCGAAAGAAAGACCAGCCGAGAATTTACCCAGATTAGGACATGACGAGAGCGCGATGTATCTTTCAGTACTGGGAAACACTGGGACATTACTGATAAACAAACAAACAAATATATTTATTGAAATTCATTTGAATCTAAATCTGCCTTCATTATGTTGGAAGACTGTCAACATGAAACCCTCAATTCATACTGAATAAAAATAATAATAATTAATAGATCAAATAAATGGTTTTCCAATGTTCAAATATTAATCATTGCATTCATTTGGACGTGGCTGTACTTTGCCGAACTTATTTTGCATGGAGCTGGCATCTCTCAAAGGGAAAAACAGCTGATTGTCCGATTCTAGTGCTGTACAACATTGCGAGGATTTAAATGTACTTCCTGTCTAGTGTGCGCAACAGCAACAATCAGTTGACAAAGTCTTTAAATTTATTATTTAAATTATGTTTTAAAACCGTTTAAGTAAAGTGATTTTTCAATTGTAGAAAGTAGACTCCATTTACAAGTGGAACGTGAGAATATGTGAGAAAAAGCCAGTTTTCTCTGGGCAAACCAAAAGTTTACAGACGAAAATTCAGGTTATGTGTTATGTGGGGACAGCGCTTGCGCGCAAGTTATTTACGAAATTTATAAAAAATGGTTTAAGGAAGCAAATACCTTTCTCCAAGAGATGCCTTTGCGTTTTGCTCGTCCTGCTGCCCTTTTAACACCCATTGCTAAGATTCGAGAAAACACACCACGTGGTCCTTGCAAGGTTTCAGTATCTTTGTATCTAGTAGAGCTGTAAAAGTTCAACTGACATTTGGTATTCCGGATGAACCGTGCAAATTGTTTTTCGTATTACTTATTTCAATTATGTTGAACGGGAAACAATTTGTGCAGCTTGCCTGGAGAAGCAACCTAAAATAAAATGGTTCACATGTAGTTAATCCTTAATAATTATCTAATAATGACAGCATTAAATGCAAATCTTAAAATGATATCTTACCTATCCAGGTGCTTGACTTTCAGATCGTATCACAGGCTCTGTGCTGAAGACAAACTTGGAAAGAAACAAGAGAGAAAAAATACATACTATATATATTTCGATGTCTGATCAGTTGTGTAGTGTGGCGTTTTACTTGACTTGCTACGATACCAACTGGCCAGAGGATCGAGATGGAATAGAACAAAATGTATTTCTGAAACTAAGTTTATGACTATTGAACGAATAACAAGTGATGATGGGAATAAAGCTTAACTAATTATAGACAGCATCAAGCATTAATTATCTTCACATTTATTAAAGCTTGGTGCAGTCTGTAATTAGTTAGGAGCTTATCGATTCCGTTCCGATTATGTCTGGCAAAACAAAATATAAATTTGCCAAGTATGCAGCACGTTGATGTTTTTCTCGTTGTCACAACGCATTGCATACATGACAAATTTTGCTAATTTGTATTCTGCTTGTAAACATAAAGTAATTATAATAGCACTTAACAATTAAAACTGCTCTTTCAATCAGCTTAGTTCCTGTCGATTTTAATCACAATTAATATTGCTCACTTAGAATTAGTTTGTTATGCAAAACATGTTTCAGCACTCCAGGACATTGCTAGGCGCGTCAAATGATATATATAAGTATATCTAAAAAGTATTTTTTTGGTTTACAAAAAGTACAAATTTAGCTGCTTAGGCTTATAATACATATATCTAGCCTGGCTTTTGGTTTATATAATTTAATAACAGAATTGCTCCATTTGTCATTTTTTTGTTTGTTTTGTTCTTTTTAGGATTTAATACTAAACTTTCAAAAATGTGCGCACTAAAAACGTTGCTTAGCTTCTTTAAAAATAGTTCACTGTCTTTTGGTTTTGTTAATATAATTACATATACACATATATTAATGATTTGTTTGTAAGGCAAAATTTGTAAGTCACTTTTTTGATTGCATACAGCGCCTAATTTATAATGTATATATCTTAATTTATATAAATAAATTTATACCTTTGGGCTTTAAAGCTGTTGAAATGTATTAAAAATGATGTACTGTTTTTTTTTTTTGTTAGGATTTGGTATCAAAATCGTTGCCATATTTAAGCTATTTGTGTCTTTGTAAAGTTTTTAAAAAAGTTTCGTAAACAGTTTAAACAAGCTTGTGCCTGTGCTAATTGTACATATAACATCATATTGTCTATATGTAGATAAGGCTCACTCGCAGTATATAATTGTAATATTTAATGAGTACAGAGATCAATGCGTGTGCAAGTCTATAAACAAATACATAAACAACCATTCGCAAACAAATTTTACTTAACTGAATTATTGGTAACAAACTTTTTAAACTAATAACTAGGTAATTTTCTTTCTTTCTATTTCAGTGGTCACACACTTTAATATAAATTATAAAAGCTTATATTTTTCGATGTGGAAAATACAAATAATTGTTGTTGCGAGTGCCTTTTGTTGCTCTCTTTGGTTATATTCGTTCATTCTAACAATTGGCAAGCTTTGCTAACGCTGCTTGGTCCAGGTTCTATATACAGTCGCAGGACAGCATAGCTATGTGAGTTTCTTAGCCCATTTCAAATCATCGTCGCGCGGCTTTAGGCCCGTAAAGCGTTCAATAATAAACTCGAAGGTTGACCAAAATCTACAATAAAAAGGTAAATTATTTATGATTTGGACAAATATTTTCAGCTACTCGAACCTAAGCTGCTCCAGTGGCCAATTTAGCCAGCCGGTGGTAATGCAAAAGTACGTCTCATGCGGCGCCACATGATGAATGCGATGATGTTTGCGCGGTAGAATAATGTGACAGCTCTGCAGCAACAGCACCCACCTTGGCAGGCCCCAGTACGTGTGCGACCATTTGTGTATCTAAACAAAGAGAAATAGATTATTATCAAAATTAGTTTCGGCTGAAACCTATGTGAATTGTGCTGCTTATTGTTAAACATTTCTGTTAATGATCACAATTCTGTTAACCTTACAAGTACCATAGTGTTATTAGCATACATTAATGTAAAATAAATGTTAAATACGAACACCTGTTAAGCTTAACATGCAATAGCTTTTTAACAGCTGTTAAACAGGACCGAATATAATTTTACATTTCTTAGATAACAGCTTCTGAATTGGAATATATTCGAATTAAACAAATAAATGTACTATTCAGACGGCAGCATTTGCTGTCACCCACCTGATTTGTCATAGCCACAAAGATGGAGCATAGGAATACATAGGCTATCCAGCCGAAATTCTGCTGTATTTCACACGGTGACCTCACATAAAAATAGTGCGCCAAGTAGCCAAGTATGGGTATGCCCACCATGAAGTTGTCGCCATTCGTCTCAATGAAATCGTGACGTGTTATCGACGTTGGATCCAAATGATGCTCGCGAAATGGCCGCAAAAAGTTCTAGAGATCGATTCCAAATATAACAGTCTGGGGTTAAGACGCGGGTGCATTCGAATTCATACCTTTCCAATTATGGGTAAGTCCACCGAGCCCCAGGTATCCGCGGCCCAATGCACCAGGCCGGAAGCAAAGTCTGCCGTTATGATGCCACACAAGGCGGAGATGAAGGTCACGCTGATTCGCTCCAAACGCAAGTGCTTCACAATTAGTGCTAAATTGATGATCATCAGGCCGATGCAGGTGTAAACACATATGATTTCCTGTGCACGTTTACCTGCATAAAGTGTTATACTCGAAGATTAGTTGTCTGCAAATGCGACTTGGAAATAAACGAGGTACTATATACTCGATTATCTTTTGTGCTAATTTTGACTGTGGCGACGAGCTGCCAATAAATTGATTGTATACCTGATTAAAATTGATTGTAGCTTATCTATTTTTACGATAATCCAATAAATGTTGCTCATTGAAATAATTGACTTTTTACTGCTGTCTGCCTGTTGTCTCTTTGTTTCTAAAATATTCCACTGTAGTGCTGCATAGTTAATTTAACACAACTGTTATATTCTGAACTGTTATACACAATATGCCGTATGTTAACTTGCAGTGTTATATAATTGTTATAAAACAATGTAAATGTAGCTGACTGAACAAAACTACTGCTGATAATTTGTTATAAAACTGTTATACTGTCTCACCTGGACTATAGAGGGATGCCAGCTCCTGTGCACCTTTGTTCTGTGGCCCCCAACGCGGAGAAGTCGCTGCTGTCGCTGGAATTGTTGTTGTTGTTCTCGTTGCTGCCGCGTCATTTGCCGCCGCCCTCCCCTCCTCCTGATCCTGATCCAATGCTGTGGGTGCTGAATTGCCATTGGGATCATCTTCGTACATGGAATTGGCGAGAATTTCCTTATCGCTTTTGGACGTCATCGTCTAGAAGTAAGAAGGATATAGAGAAAAGGAATTAGAGCAATAGCGATATGGACATTTACTTCCTAGCGACTGGCCCTGACTGAAAGCGTGCCTTTCAAAATCGCGCCGCTTCCAAGGACCTGGGGAAACTGTCAGCTGCTCCGTGCATTATTTAACAGTTTGCTGGGAAAGCGCAACCTGTTAAATATATTTAAATACTCTTAAATTCGCCGCTGCTGCAGCTCGTGAATTTATAAAAGTCCGACACAGGTGCAAACACAAAGGTGACCAGCAGAGTCAGAGACTCAGCAGAACACCCAACCATTGACCTCTGCACATGTTGATGTCATTTACGTGGCCTGCATTGTTCGGGCACAGCGCACACCCTCTCCTGATCCTGCTCCGAGTGTATGTCACGCAATATTTTGGAACCTATTCTCAGTCCCGTGGGCGGGAGCCGAGTGAGTTGTTGTCAGTTGTTGGGAGGCGGCAGTTTAAAGGGGCCTTAATTAGGCAAATTGGTATTTAAATTGTTGCGAAGGCTAACTTTGAGGTAGGCATATTTAACGGGTTATATGCATAGCAAACTATGCTTGTCAGTCCATTTTCTTTCTTATTTATTTCTATGGTCAGTGGAATTTTTTCCTTTTTGGGCATATTTGAATGACAAATGGGCTTCAACACGAAATGCCAGCGTCGTGTATGTATGTATACGACTATAAATAATTGGAAATTAGATAATTACTTATAAGCATAGATTAAATATTCTTAATAGGAAAAGGCAGCTTATAATTTTTGGTGCGCTTTGAGCTCGACTCAAATTGACTGCAATTGCCATTAGTTAGACAGAGTCAACTATATGTGTGCACATGTGTGTGATACATGCGCCATATAAAAGCTGACTGCTACAGGTGTCTGCTGACCGTGCGTGTGTGTGTGTGTGCGTGTGCGTGTGATTGCGCGCAAGTGTTGGTACATAAGAGCTTTCTGATTGGCTCATAAGAAGCGACTCGCATCTGGGATCAACAGCTTAAGGTGCCACTCATGCAATACCCTAGAAGGTGCAAATGTGTTTAAAGCAAACCATTTCATAATGTTTTTTCTTAATTACAAGTTTTTTTTTATATAAGTGGCATGTTGTTAAGTCTTGAGAACTAGTCAAACTGCCATTAAGTGAGGTACTTAATAAACTACTTCAATTGAGAGCGCCTGTGAAGCAGGTTCTCCGCCAAAAAGACAGCCTATCCATATGCAAGCTATTTATATGAAATATTACAAGTGATAAGAGAAAGCTCGTTATCTCGATAAAACGGCCTTGCCTAAATTGGGGAGTTTAGCCTTAAATATTCATTGTTTCAGCTACCTTAGCTGCCTAACATACTTGTCTTGTGCAAAACTTAAACTACACCAAAAATGTAACTTTAACATCCGTAAAATTTGTAAGATAAGTAACCTTATCCCTCAACAAAACAAATTTCTTAACAGGACAATATCTTTCAATAAAACCAAAGTTAATCTATTTTTTACAAGCTACTCTTATGAGTACAAAGGAATATTTAAGCATTAAGTATAAATACGTTAATACATTTGAATAATATAATGCGGAAGTTTATATAAGTAATTTTATAGCTAGTTTTTAATATTTTTTTCATAGTAATTGTATGATGTAACACAAAGTGTCAATTAATATTAATAATAAATGGCTCGATTTATCTTTTAGTTCTAGCTGCTAGCCTGCTATCTATATCAGTTCGAGCAGAACTCACATTGTCATCGAATACCCCTCACTTGCAGGCAATACAATCATAGAAAGGTTTGTTGTGTGGCGTAGAAACGTGCGTGATCCCCTTAGTACATAGTCCATTAATTGTAGGATTTCCACACGAGCTGACTATTATTAATGCATTAGCTGAACTCTTTCCCACTGGAGTTCAGTTAATACCATATGCATACAAATTACTTTAATATTATATTTTGTGGTAATATTCCGACGAAATTTCAGCTTTAACAAGGTTCATTATGTCCATTATTGACAAAACAATTTCTATTCCAATGTGTGTGTAGAAAATCAAGAGTAAATAAATAGCGCTAATGATTGTGCTTATAGCAGGAAATGTCAAGCAAATTACACTAATGGTAGTGCCATATTCGGAAATCGGGTCCGGTTTATTGAAAAGGCATTAATTAAAACTGGCAACCGCTATTGATAAAGCGCCCAGAAATACTATGTAAAAGGAACTGGCAGGCAGCCGTGGGCATGGTTGTCCAACCCAGAGGTGAACACCGCCCCCACAAAGGTCATGAAAACGAAACTCATAATCGGATGTCTTGTAACGCCCCACAAGAGGCAAACCTTTTCCATTTGACGTGCAAATAAATACGAAAGAAAAAAAAACGTTGATTCAAATTTCCAGCAGGGCGGTGCGCTGGAACGCAGGAGGCCCAAAAGGTGAGCCGAAAATAAAAATGAATATGAACAGTTCGGCAACTAAATGTTAGCGACGGCGTCAGCTCCCATGCTCTCTAGGATATTCGTCGTTATTTATTGACAGGGTATATCACTTATCAAAGCCATAGATTAGCAAAGAATTGATTAACAGCATTATGAATTCATTTATGTCGCCATAAATAAAACTTTTTAACTTTATAAACAAACACTCGAAGTTCAAACTAAATTCAGCTCCTAACTAAAAAGTTATCGATAACATTCATCATGATCGAAATCGATTTAAAGCTATGTAATTCGACAAGCAATTCTCAACACTTAGCGTATAACGGCACGAGAGCAACATACTCATTCACAATAGTTCTTTGTTAAATCACAGGGTGTTCGCTTAGCCGTTCAGCGGCTGACACATTCTATGGTTTGTTTGTTGCTGTAAGGCATAATAAAGGGGCCGCACAGCCAACAGGTACTAATTTAGAACAACGTTACGGGGATTTGCCGTGTGTTGTGGCAAGCGAAGGAAGCACAATTTATTACACGAAATGCGCGAAAAGTCACTCGAAAGTTTTGTATGTTTTGGGGGCAAGCACTTGGACTGGCGCCTCGGTCGCGCTCCTCTCATTTTCAAAGTCAGCGCTTTGTCGTATTTATAGTTTTTATTGTAGTTAGCTTTTTGCGATTGATAAGAACTGTTGATGGCTTTGCTTTTGCATACTCTGCACTCACCTAACTATTTATAAAAATGAAAACAACACTAACAAAACACTCGCACACATACATGCATGCACACTGATACGCTCGCCGATTGAGAATTTGACTCACCTTTTGTGTGTGTGCGTGTGTGTGTGTTTGTGTTGCTGGCGTCGTCGGCAGCGGGCGGCTAGTAATGGCAAACACAACGTTTTGCTGTTCTTATTGTCGTTTCAGTTGTTGTTGTTGTTGTTGTTGCTGCTAGTGGCAGAGGCACCTGCAATGAGCAGAGCAGAGCAGAGCACAGGCATGTGTGGGTTTTACTTAAAGCAATTAAATTTAAATGAACCGTCTAGTAATATTGATTAATATTAGAGTCGAAAATACATTTTATGCATGCAGAGCAGCAACAAAACACGCACACACAAATATAGCACACACACACACACACACACACACACCAATGCGCAAGGACGCACGCTATGAATTACAGCAGAGCTACATACGTCAGTGAGTGCTCCTTACTAGGGGCAGAAAGTAAATAAAAGCTGGCTTAATGCACGTGATTTTATGTTGTCACAGGCGTGAAGACACACACCCACACGAAGCGACCCGGAAAACCGACAACAAGGATGACCGCAACTTGTCTGCAGCTGCAGAGGCCACTTTGCACCAGTAAATACCGACAGCAACTAAACAGAATGCCAGCGGCAAGCAGCATTTCATTCATGCCCTCTGTGTGCGCGCGCGTGTGCGTGTGTGTGTGTGTGTGAGATCGGTCAGCTTTTACCGTTATATTGTGATGAGTGGGCATATACTCACACTTAAATGCTGCACCTTTGCCGCCGCAAATAATGGTGGTGAGAAAGTTTTTTATGTTTGCCAAAAAATATAAATATATATACACTTTACATTTTGACAGCAAATGCACATATATAAGTGTTAAATATATTAACCAAACTAAGCGCAGTGCTTGTTATCGATTTGCGCATCGATTACGCTAGCTGTCATAGCAGCGAGCTTATTGGCAGGTCTAGTTCGGTGTGACCAGTCTTGAGTTGTTTAAAACATAAACAGCTGGTTGTTACGTCGCCGCACGCATCTAAAGCTGCTAAAAAAAAATTAAACTTCAATTAATTAATAAAAATGTTACCTTTAGCACGCGGCGTTTACGGCAGCTTAGCACAAATAACCCGCAACAGTCGTCTAGCACTACACACGGCCAGCGTGGTGCGTGGCAAAGCAGAAGCAGCTGCAGAAAATGAGGCGCCGGCAGAAAACAGTGAAGAAACTGCAGCAAATGCAGCGCCAGATGCCAAGGATCGCACAAACAAAATACCCGTAGAGACTTCCATACGTTACTTGAAAAGCGCCGCCTACAAAACAACCTACGGTGATGAATTTGTATGGACACAATATCGGTATGCAGCAAAAAATATTAATTATGAATGCTTAACCAACTTTCCTTTAACTTACTAGTCGCAACCACAAGGGCATGTATGCGCCGCGCAAGACGCGTAAAACCTGCATACGCCAGGGCAAAATTAGCACCGGCAATCCGTGTCCCATATGCCGTGATGAGTATCTGGTGCTGGACTACCGCAACACGGAGCTCTTGCAGCAGTTCATTTCGCCGTTCAGCGGCCAAGTGTTGAGCTACTCCAAAACGGGCCTGTGCCAGAAGAGTCATCTGCGTCTAACGGTCGCCGTGGAGCAGGCACGCGACTGTGGTCTGATCACCTACGATGTGCCCTTCCGGGAGTACGACTACAGCGAGTACTATGGAAAGCAGGAAGAGCAGAAGAAATAAGAGTCAAACATTTAAAGTTCAACTGATTAAAATTTTTATGATTAAAATGCTAAAAAGAAACTTTTATTGAGGTTATGTTGTCAGCTGTTCCAACAGCTGTCTTATACCCTGTAGTCATTGCAAATAGTGTGTATTGGTTCAATGCAAACGTAACGTGACGCAAAAGAATCTCGAAATATCGCAAACTATAAAAGCTTGAGACTTCCTAATTGGTTTCTAGATACCAATATGATATTTGAATACATACCGTAAATAATAAAAGACCAAGTTATTTATGATCCATTTGAGAGCCAACCAAAATGTGGCTGGCTACAGGGTACTTCATAGTCGAGCAGTCCAAACAAAACACACAGATATTAGTTGATGTTGTTATTTGTGCGCAGCAATGTCTCAGGATTGCACCTTTCTAGTGGTCGGCGGCGGCATTGCTGGCGTCTCCTGTGCGGAGGCCTTGGTCATTTGTTGCCCCAGTGCATCCGTATTGCTGTTGACCGAATCGAGCATTGTCAAAAGCGTGACTAATCTCGTGCCCGTGGCGCGTTATCTGCACAAGTTCGATGTGCGGGAGCAGAATGTTAAGGATTTGCGTGCCGGCATTGGCACCATAGTGGATCAGCTGGTGCACATCAACAGCAGCGAGCATTGGGTGCGCACCAAGGCGGGGCTGGTCATCAAATATCGTTATCTCTGCCTGTGCACAGGTGGTGCGGCCAAATTGTTTAGCACGGGCCAGACAGAGCTGGGGGCACGCATCATTGGCATACGCGACACGGATTCGGTGCTGGAGCTGCAGCGCCGGCTGGCCAGCGCCAAGGATGTGCTCATACTGGGCAATGGCGGCATTGCCAGCGAGCTGGCGCACGAGTTGCACGACGTCAAGGTGCACTGGGTGATTAAGGATGGTCACATATCCGCCACATTTGTGGATGCTGGCGCCGCCGAGTTCTTCCAGCTGGCCAAGCAAGAGACGGCTCAGCCAACGCAGGCGCCTGCAACTGCCATCAAACGAATGCGCTATAGCGAAATGCTACCCAAAGGCGAACAGCAGGAAGTGGGCGAACATAAGCGTGGCGCCGCCTTGGGTCCCGACTGGCATCGCAGCTACGACTTGAGCGGCAGCGGCGCAGCGAGTGCTGGCCGAGAGTTGCCCAAAGTCTATTACAAATCGCAAATAAAGCAGATAGAGCAGCTGCCGGATAGCGGCGCATTGTGCATCACCTTGAGGCACGACGATGGCAGTCTGGAGCGGCTCAGCTGTGACTTTATTGTGTCAGCAACGGGTGTGCAGCCGCGTCACGATTACGATACGGATCAGCAGCTCCAGCTTGCCGAGGATGGTGGCATTAATGTGGATGAAATGATGCGTACGAATCTGGGCGACGTTTATGCGGCCGGTGATGTGTGCACCGCTGCCTGGGCAAAGGCGCCGCACTGGTTCCAGATGCGCTTGTGGACGCAAGCCCGACAAATGGGCGCCATGGCCGGACGCAGCATGGCAGCCGCACACGAAGGCGAGACTATTTATCAAGATTTTTGTTTTGAGCTCTTCGGGCATGTTACCCAGCTGTTTGGCTTTCCTGTGGTGCTGCTGGGACGCTTCAATGGGCAGGATTTGGGGCGTGATTATGAGCTGCTCGTGCGGTGCACACGCAACAAGGAATACATCAAGTTTGTCCTACAGAATGGACGATTGCGCGGTGCCATACTTATTGGTGATACAGATCTGGCCGAGACGTGCGAGAATCTCATACTTAATGGCACAGATCTGACCCCTTATGGCGATGATATACTTAATCCGGATATTGACATTGAAGACTACTTTGATTAATGTACAACATGTTTACAAATAAAGTATTAGTTATGCTTAAAGTTATGTTTAATTCTAGGTTGTGCTCCGCTTTTTCTTCTTGTGTCATTTGAGCTTTCCCTCGGTGCCTAGACAAAAATAATCCATTAACTACATGCAACTCTTATGGTAAATAATTTTGATACGTACCCACGTACTTAATCTCATCGAATGCCTTGCGCGCCTTCTTTAATTCCTCGTTCATGGTCAGCAAATCCTTGACCCTGGCATACTTGCGCTGATCTTTGCGCACCAGAAATATGATGTCCTCCACTTGGACACGACCAGTGCGTCCAATTTCCATGGCGCGATGTGTGGTCTCTGCAATGTACTCAATGACAAGATCCTCCAGTAGATCAACTGTTTCCGTATAGGGATTTTTATCGTCACCAAAGCCAAACATCATACAGCGCAGCTCCTTGCTAAACAGACGCTTACGGCCCGCATTTGTAGAAACCATTTGCTCATCGTCCGCATCTTCATCAAACTGAAATGGGTTCACAAATTAATAATTGCACGCAAATATACACTTAATACTTACATCGGCGCCTTCGAAATGTTCTTCGGGCGTATTATTTGCAGCCATTATGTGTTTTGTTTATAATTCGCTAAGTATAATAAATAGTTCACGACACAGCTGCAAGTATCGATGCCGCAAGTATGCTAATGGAACACTGTCAGAAGGTGATTGCTGTGACACTGCCAAGACAATTGTTGTCAATATTATTATCGATAGCAGAAGCGAAAGCAGCTCTGTGCTAGCTGAGGCAGGCGCAGCTTCAACACAAGCGCATTCAAATTTAAACGCCTGTTGCCTAAAACAAACAAACACCTTAAAAATGGACGTTTATACATACGAAAAGTCATTTCTTGAGCGTCTAAAGGAAGCAGAAGCTGTTCTATCATGGGATAACGCACCTATGCCTGCCTCGCAAGTACGCTCCGAATGGAAGGCCTATGTCGAGTTGAAAATTGAGCCAGCAGGTAAGTGAATCCCACACGCATGCGCACAGTACTCACACACAGACACACACGCAGGCTGGCAGGCTATGTGGAAAATACCACGCGTCATCTGCGAGGATTTAAAGCTGCGCTATCCAACTATTGTATTCGGCTACGTGGAACAGGTTATATTCGATGAGCTCAAGGCGGTGTTTACGGTGACCGCGGTTCAGGATCAGGATGTGCATTTACCGGAAAGCAATGAGGTGTCCCTAATCGAGCTGTGGCCCACATTGCAGCAGGAGAACTCTGCATTGAATGTGGACACCACGGCCGAGTGCATTGATAGATTGCGTTTCTTCTACGCGCACGTCTGGATGCCCTGGGACAAGGACTACGATGACGATCGCGATTGGGTGCAGATGCATTTGCAGGCGCGCATACAGCTCGCCTGTGACTTACGCAAGAACCGCTTGCCACGACCACTTGCGCTCCATATGCGCACACTATTAATGGAGGCGCGTTATATACAACAGCGCCTGGAGTATCTCGAGCTAGACATGAGTGATGCCGAGGACGAAAGCGATGATGAGGCCGTGGAGTTAAATGACAATGCCACAGACCCACCACGTAAACAGCCCAAAACAGGCGGCAGCCCAAAGGCAAACAACCTGAACAAGTCCATGTTGCCAGTTACGGACTTGATGTGCCTGCACTTGCGCCTAGCCATCATACGCAGCGAGTTCGAGATACTCGAGAACCCGGAAATGCGACGTGCCTACAGCGAGCTGCAGAGCAATGTATTAAAGCGACACCTGCTGCAGCGCAGTCCAGGGCGTCTGAATCAGTTGACAGAGCATGTTGAGCATACGAACATGTGTCACCTGGTCACAGTGCCGGGTGAGCTGCAGACACAGATTGCCCTGCTCACGCTGGCTGAGAAGCTTGTAAAGCCGCATACAAAAGTACAGCTGGGCAACACCTTGCAGGTGAGTGTCCTATTAATATGGTTATCATTTATAGCACTCAAGTTTTGCTAATTCTAGGACGTGCTCAGCATCTCGCAGGCCAACGATGACATACTTATATCACCCGGGCAACACACCATCAAGTTTCTGGAACATCTCAATGACAACGGCAGCATCAAAGGTCTAATTGAAGCTGAGTCCGTGATAGCCCCCAAACAAGACCTAACTAAGCTGCCGTTGATTTGCTCAAGTGATGAGGATAGCACTTTGCTGGTCGTTGATGGCGACTACACACTGTCGCAGCTGGTGTTGGACTGCCGACATGTGCGTCGCGGTATTCTCTTGCGCTACGGCACGCTGACGCTGCGCAGCTGTCGCCTGCTAGGCGATGGTCGCTCGAGCACACAGGAGGCCATTGTGTGCATGCCGCAAGCCAGACTTGAGCTTAAGGATTGCCTGCTAGAGAACTTTGCCATTGGCATTTCAATGCGTGCCGACACTAGCGCCCAGTTGAGTAATGTGTGCATTCAGAAATGCAATACGGGCTTGGAGTTGCTGGATCAAACGACCAAGCTAAAAATGCTGGACAACAATTGCAATTTTCATACCTGCAAGCTGGGCATATTGGCGGATGGCATAGCTCTGCCCAATGGCAGTGAAAAGACCTTGGCGCTGAAGCATTTCAGCGAGCTGCAACGGTGCATAATCCTCGAATATTATTCAAAACTTGTAGCTAATCCATAATTTTATATTTCAGCTACAACGAGAGCAACTGGCTGGGCAACTGTTCGTTTAATAACTGTCTGCGTAACGTACGCGTTTTCAATGAATCTGAGCAGCTGTTGGCCAAGCGCACGCATCAGAATTTACTTTTGGAGGAGCTGGATGGGGAAAATAAAGAGAATATTAATTAGTTTTAGTGTGTCATGTAAATCGTACAACAAAAATAAAAATATGCAATTTTAACGAGCCCTTGTTTCGTTTAGTATATATAAATATGGGTAAAGTAGGTATTAAATGTTCTGGGCGACATATTCGACACTACTTTCATTTCCAATTAAATTCATTATTTTTGTTTTTTTTTTTTGATTATAAAAATTAGTCGTTATGCTCAAATTCAAGCATCGATAGTTGGTTATCGAGCAACCCGTTTATCGATACCGAGTACTTTGGCGCATGCATAGAATACCACTGTTTATAGCCCAACCGTAGCATTTGCTGTTTTATTATATTTAAAACTTCGCCATAAAAGCACAATATTCTTCTCCATAAGCCGAGATGTCCAAGGAGCACTGGATGCGCGATCTGCCGCCTGAGCTGCGCGATCTACCAATTGTCAATCTGGCCATACCAGGTATATGAGATCATCCAAAGCGAGCAGCGACTCAATTTGACTAATTAATATTAAAGCTATTCCGCCGTAGGTTCACACAATTCAATGACCTATGGAATTAATAGCAGCTCAAAGCTAGCCCCGGATGCAGAAAGCGCAATACGTCGTTGGCATCGTTTTTTTCCCTGCTTTGTGCGCCGTTGGTCCAAAAACCAATCGTCGACCATTTTGGAGCAACTGCATCTCGGTGTGCGCTATTTTGACCTACGCATAGCACAAAATGATGATAAATTCTATTATTGTCATGGACTCTTTGCCATGGAAGTGTTTGAGCCGCTGCAGGAGCTGCGTCAATTCCTAGATACGCATCCTGGCGAGATGATAATACTGGACCTGCAGCATTTCTATAACATGACCGTCGCACAGCACCAGCAGCTGCACAAAGAGCTTTTGCAGTTCTTTGATCAACGCCTGTATGCCACAACAGATGGCTATCTGCTCGAATGCTCCTTGACGCGCTGTGCCGAGCTCCAGCGCCAAGTGGTGCTCATCTATAGACGCTGCCCGATTGGCCTGCCCCCACAGTTCTGGCCCAGCTATGCCTGGCCAACGCCTTGGCCGAATACGGCCAGTGTCAAGAAGCTGCAGTCCTTCCTAGCCGATTCGCTGCTCTCGCGTCAGCCACAACAGGGCTATGTCTCCCAGTGTCTCCTCACGCCAACCGGACGTTATATAGCGCTGCGTGTTTTCTTCACCCTAAAACGAACGGCAAAGCGTGTGGATAAAAAGCTAAAGCCTTGGATACTGGAACAGCTACCAGGACCTTTTGCAAGCGGTCAATCGCCGCGTGTGAACGTCTTTCTGGCAGACTTTGTTAATCTGAAAAATGGCCAGTTCTGCAACTGGGTTGTTGAATTGAATACTAAACTGGAGCCGGCGCAGGATAAGTCGGAGTCTCTGGATGATCCTTTATAGACCGCACGATCCGATGGTTATTGTTGTATATTATTATCGTACAAATATTGTTAAATAATTTTATATGGTGCTTATTATTTTTACGATGCTCTCTAAAATCGAATAAGGCTTCAATTTGTATCTATTTAAATTATTATTAATTATGCACCCACTTTTTATGGTGCTATTTTCTATTCGTTTACGGATCATCTGCTTGCAATGAATTCCAGCCTAATATTTGTTATTAAATGCCTGTCTTGTTTTAAATGTTTCTTTGTTTTGTTATGTTGAATCACTTCAAAACTTGCTTTTCTGCAATGTTCGCAATAAATGAACTTAAATGTAATTAAGTGATTTGTTTGTTATCGCACGCGCGATTTTTAAGTGGCGATAAGAAAATGCAATTAGTTATAAAGAAAAAGATAAGTAACATGCAATTCTGATATTGAACGTGCATAATTCCACAGTATCTATGACTTATATGTTAGCCTTATTACAAGTATGCGATATTTTACTCTATAAAATTTCAGGTTTATGAAATTCTTCAAATATTAAAACAAGGCTCTCAATACTAATTTAAGAACATTTCACATAAGTTAAAAATTAAAATGGTGTTTGCAAGACTGAAAATATATTATATATTAACAACAAAAAAGTACATGTTAAATATATTTTTCATAAACCAATTTGCAGGCATAAGGAAAAAATATGTTTAGATAAATAAAAAGCAAATTAAATAGAAATGCAAAACAAATGGAAAATATTATGGAATAAAAAGTAAAAAATAAGCAATAATTGTTCATGAAATGTCGAATAAATCTACATGTGATTGACCCTCATATATTTTTACATATACTTACAATCATTGAGAAAAATATGACCTAGAAACCGTGACCGTAAACAATACAGACAAACATTTAATTTCCATGTAAGCATTTACATTTATAAATATATTAAAATATATATGCATATATATATTCAAACATACATATATATTTAAAAAAAAAAACGAATAAAAACAAATACAAGACATTGCATTGAAGGTCATAAATGAATAGAATGGGTTTGGGCTTAGGGTAAATGGTATATAAAACTGAAACAGATTTGTCAATCGATAAGGAAACGCACAGCCTTTTGCGCTTTAGTTGGCGAACTCACCTCAGCCGACTGGGCGAGCAAGCCGTGCATGCCCTGGAGCACAGTGTCCAGTTGGGTTAGGGCAACCTGCAGATTGTCAGCCAGAGTGCCGGCATCCGATAGATTCTCCCGTTCGCGCAACGCCTGCTCGCAGTGGCGATATAAGCGCTGCGCAGAGCGCTGCATCAGCTGCAGCTCCTGCTGCGCCAGTTGGGATAAATTGTGGCAGCTGCTCGCCGAATGCTGCTGCTGCTGCTGTTCGTCCAGATCGTAGGTGAGCAGGCGTTTGGTATATTGCGCCAGTTTGCTGCTGGGCGAGCCGCTGGCTGGCGTCTTCGCCGGCGTGGAAGTCTGCTGGGGCGTATTGTTGGCGCTGAGCAGCCGCTTGAATGGCTGCTTGAGCAGCGCATCCTTCATGGCGCTCAGATTGAGGGCAATGCGACTGGAGTTGTGTGTGTCATTAAGCGTTTCATTAAGTGCCGCATCCAGTGGCTGCCAATCCACCTCCACACTCTGGAATATATTGCTGGCACTGCTCGGCAGCGCAGCGTCGCGCTGCAGATCGAGCCAGACGCCCAGGCGAGCAGTGGGCCATTCGGCCTTCAGGGCACGCTGCTTGTCCACAATCAGAATGACCGTGCGTAGCAGTCCGAACTCGTCGGGCGTTTGGGTCTGGCGGAATTCGAGCTGCTTTAGGCCGAGCTGGCGACACCGCTGCGTCGCCTCCTTGACCATCAGCTGTGTCTTGTGCAGACTCTCTTCGCTGGGATTCAGCATAATGCGCTGTATATCCTCAAGCAGTGTGGACTTTTGAGCCGGCGTTGTGGCGCTGGGCGTCTGCTTCAGCTGCTGCTGGGCCAGCGCCTGGCGCTCCGTTTCGAGCATTTCGCTGTTGCACTTGTACTTGAACTGCTCCAGTTCGAGGCACTGCAGCCGCTCCTCGAAATCGCGCGCATGCTGCACACGCTCTTGTTCGATGCGCGTGAGTGCCGCGCGCTTCTCGGCCTCCAGTTCGGTGCGCAGCTGCTGCTCCTGCTTTTGCAGTATCTCCTGATGCGCCAGCTGGAAGTCCACGTGCAGCTGTTCGGCTTTGCCGCGCTGACTGCAAAACGGATTTGAGATGCGAAAGTAATGCGAGCCGCCAATGACCAAACGATCGCCATGGAACAGCGGTCGCCGCTGCTGCAGCAGCTCACCATTCACATAGGTCTCGAAATCTTCGCTGCCCGGACTCACGTACAACCTGCCGGAGCGCTCGTGCTCGATGGTGCAGTGCTGCAGCGCCACCAGCGGACCGTCCAGCACAATATCCGGCAGGGAGCTGGCCGGCGCTCCCGGCAAACGGCCGCGTCCAATGCGCACAGTGCCCGGCGGCAGCAGATAGAACAGGGTGCCGCTCAGCATGGGATCATCCGTCAGATTGACGAGACATGCCTGTTTCTGATCGGCGGTTAGCTCCAATGCGAGTCCCTTGCGCTTGAGCAGACGTAGCTCCGATTTGCGCTGATCCTCGGCCTCTTTAAGCTTCTCCATCCATGACTTTTGAGCGCGATTCAGTTCACGTTCGCGTTCCGCCAGCTGCTGACGCAGCGCCTCCACCTCGCCGTCATCCACGGAAGTCTCAATTATGATCTTGCGCGGCGCTGGCGGATTGTTGTTGTTCGCCGAGAGACGACGCTGCCGCTCATATTCATTACGCAGCGATTTCAAGCGATCCACCTCCGCTCGCAGATCCCTGATGATCTTGTCATGCGGTGATTCATTCACCTTAACCCGGTTCACGATGGAGCGCGCCTTACACGCATAGCGCAGCGTAGCGAGCGTCTCATCCGCATGCAAGCTGGCTGGTGAAATGGTGGCCAGCATCACCGTCTTGGAATTGCCACCCAAGTTTTCCTGCAGAGAAACAGAAACGGAAACTCTGTTAATCATAGCTACTTCTTGGGATTTCAGTAAAAAAAATATAATTCCTACTAAATCATTTGTAATACAAATTTCTCAAAGAGACATATGAAACTTTTTAACTTGGGCAAAAAAAAACATACAGTGAGGTCTTCCTTGAACTTCCTTGAACTTACATGGTTATTTCTTCAAAAGGAAAATGTACGAAGAAATAACAGAAAGAATATATATATATATATATATATATTATATACAGAAATTTTATAATTAATTTTATTATTTATATTATAATTTGAATTTTTTCGTTAAAAAAGTATTTTAAATCGCTTTCAATGGGCAAAAGAAAACACACAACCCGTTATTTTATCAGCACTGCTTGCTAAACGCAAAAGCTGTTCTTTGTGTTCATATTCAAAATTAACCGCCCGATGTATCGATCAATTATTTTTGTTTGCTGCACGTATTTCGATAAATACTTAATCAAGTTTGACAAACAGTTGCATACAAAATGATTGGCAGGCCCTTGTTTACATTTTAACGTTTACCCATCAACGACAAGGTGCAAAGTGAGGTGCGGGCAATGGTGAAGAGCAATTTAGATGATTTACTGGGCGTGTACCTGAATTTAGAAAAACACACGCATATACCTAAGAGTATTTACAGCAGAAAATGAGTCTAAAGTATGTAAATATACTAGAGCATATTATGTATATACTATGTATGTGTGTGTACATATTTACATATGAACATTTCCACATGCCTGGGTAGTCTTAACAAAAGAATTATGACCTCCAAAGATAAGGACTTATCAGTGTTGGCAGGGGAGTCTCTTTTGACAAACTTTAAACAGACAAGGCAAAGGCAAAAGCAGCGACGGCGACTGTGGCGACCGTTAACCGTTATCAATGCTTGCAATCAAGAGCGAGATAGCTAGTCTGTTAGTTGTGCCAACAAAATAAATAAATATGTGTGTTTATATGTATGTATGTACGCATGCATATGTATGCGTATGTAATAGACACTTGTTTGATTAACGCTCCGCTGTGCAGGTCAGCATCGCTAGAATAAAACGAGTGTGAGCTAGAGAAAGGGGGTAGAACGGACTAGTCACGAGAGTTTATGTTTGCATAAACTGCGCAGCAGCAGCAGCAGCAGCGACGTGGGCGTAGGCATGTGAATGAGCGAGCAAAGGAGAGCGAGCAAAACGATTTTGTTCGTGGGGGTATGTGCACAGTGGGTTAAAGGCAGCCAACGGTAGTACAAAAAAGTGAAAAGGGTTGCAGTTTACATACTCATTATAACATTTGACACGCACGTCGCAAATTTTAAGGAAATTTAACAGAGAGTCAACGTCAATGTCAGCACATACATATCTATAACCTTTTGCTGGCCTCAAAGGAACTAAGCGTCTAAGGGGCCGGTCTAGACATGTATACTTCAATCACGCGACTATAAGCTTTGTTTGGCTGGATAGAAGCCATCAGAAGCATTGACACTGGAAATATCATTAATGTGTCATGGCTATGTGGTTAGTAAGTCACTTCGTTCCATATAAATATGCATTTTTCGGCTATATTTTTGTCACAAAACCTGTTATTGAGCAATGTGCTGGCTATATATAGCTCTGGCATTTGGAAATGTATGCCCGCCCACTTCTAGAAGCATGTCACGACATCGCACACTGAAAGTCGTGTGAGAAAAATACTTAAACCACAAAAAGTCGCTAAACGACGGTATGTACAGTCAAAAACAGCAAACAACTTAATTAATATACGTCAATATGACGTAGGTAGAGCACTTAGCACAAAGCGTCCGCAAATTATATCTATATTTAATCTTTAGTTGAGACAAACTTTAAACTCCATATTGTTACAAATGACCCGATCGATTTTTGTTTGATAAAAATGCGGCCTGATGTCCATAAATTTCGCTCGAACGCCTAACATCAGAGCTAAAACGACGTCATCGACCTAATTCAATCCGTCTCATACAAAATTATATATCCTAATTGATAAAGCATGGGAACAAATTTCTCGCTTGGCAACAAAATTGCATGAGAAATATTAACCTTTCCTTATATGGCGCATAGTCGGCATACAGTCTAGACGACGATTAGCAAACCTATGGCAACAGTTGCCTCGAGTTATACGAAGAAAAGTACCTCCAAAATTTCAAGCTTAAGTCTTGTTATATGACATCGAATTTGTCTGAGGTGACAATTTGTATATCAGCCATTTGTTTTAGCAACACGACGCTAATAAGAAAAACTTCCTACGTCAGTACGATGGTAAAAAATATTTTCCATGC